ATCTGAAGACATTGATTATCCATGTTTGTTTCAATGTGAAAAAAATGGAGGTAAGGTAGCATTTCTCATATTTCTCTTTAATTCCTATTGGTCTGATTTGAAAAATGTTAGAAATGTTAAGTTTACAAACTTAAAGTCCAAGATTTGCGCAGCTTAAATAGAACTTTATGAACAAATTTTCAACAATCTACTTGGAAATCTTTTTTTTCAAATTTTTTTAATGTTTATAATATAGAAGGGTAATGAAGAGTTTTAACAATCATTTTATTTCTAGTCTTTTTGTGTTTTATTTCTGTTATAATTTGCTGACTGATTAAAGCCTCTTAAACACAATTATGATTATGCCATCTTTTTGTTTAGAGATCATAAAGAACTATGATGGTCTTTTGGAATATACTTAAGTCTCTGGAAAATTTCTAATCTCTGTGCAATTTTACCACTAACAATTATGGGGCCCAGTACAAGAATGCCAAAAGTGGCCCTCTTTCCCTCCATCTTGCCTTCATCTTGTACAAATTAGGGCAATATTTTCAAACAAATAACAATAAGAAAAAATGATTTTAGGATATTTATTTTAAGGAACATTTGTCAAAATGATTCAGAGGTTTTTAAAAAAGTTTAGAGTTAATAGAATATTTATAACCTCACTTATCTAGACACACCCTAATTTGGCTATTTTATAGAAAAAAACATTTAATTTTATTTTTATATTTGGCATATTATTCATATACAAAATTAATAAAAAGGTATAAGCTTTTTATTAATAAATCCATTAACATTAAGCCAATTTTATAAAAAACACAGTTTATTTCAAAAGCAACCAACTAAAGGGGCATTACAAATAAAGAGAAACAGACTTCAAATTCCTCAGATGTTTTAATTTCATATATACCCTAATTTTTTTTTATTTTCTTAAGTTACACACATATATATTAGACTTAATATAGTTTTACATGTATGCATTTAGGCAATTACAGGTATATGGCTATGCTATATATGACTAAAGTTTTTATCTCTAGGATATACTGTACTTTATTAGCATATTAAGGAACATTATCTATTAAAATTACTAATTAAATGTATACTTTCTCTTAGGATAAAAACAAGCAAATCATATTTATTATCTTGTATACATAGTTCTATTTCTTTGTTTTCTTTTAAAATAACTACCAACTTTAACTACAGTAACTAACATTATTTTTTTAAGACTGAAGAGAAAACCTGAAGACAGCAATCAAATAATGTTTTAGCTATTTTATTTTTTCATGATCACACATTTTATCTAACTTTTACAACTTTTATGTTAATGAAAATAAACATAAATATGCCAACATAAATATACAGGGTGGGAAAAAGTAGCTATACAGTAGTTCATATGGAAAATAGTACAATAATTAATAAATAATACAAAATTAACTATGGGCTTCTGGTCAAGATGGCAGTGTAGGCAAACATGGTACTCAAATCCTCCAACAACCAAATGAAAAATACAACTAAACTTTACAACACCATCATTGAAAAACTGCCTAGGGAGTTAAAGAAGCCACATGGAGACTGGTAGGAGGGGCAGATATGCTAAACAGCTGATCTGACACCCACTTGTGGCAGTTTATAATTGCAAGGAATGTCTTGGCTGCAGAATTCCCCACTGAGAAGCAAGTGTTCCTACACCAAGGCCCCCCAGCCCAGGGTTCCAGTGCCAGGAAGAAAAGTCCCCATAACTTTGGGCTGTAAAAACCAGAGGGTATTGTAGCTGAGGGAGACAGAAGGAAGGATGCTGGAGTCCCAGGCAGTTCCTCTTATTAAAGGGCCACATGGACTTACTGGGACTCACCTCTTCTGAGCTTCAGTGATTTGGCAGCAACTTGAAAGGAGCCAGAGACATACAGACAGCAAAAAAATTGTCTGGCATCAGGGCAAAGCTGAAAGGGGGAGCAGCTTTCTGCCAGATAAAAATGCTGGCAGAAGCCATTATTCCTTTGTTGAGCTCTCCCCTTCCACAGAATTGACAGAGGGGTGCCATATTTGAGTCTCCATCAAGTGGTTCATACCGTTCACCCCACCCTGGTAATTCTCTGAAACTTGAAAGCTAATTCAAGCCATTTTCAGTGGCTTTTCTATACAAGTGTCTCTCTTGCCTCATGCTTTGGGCTTTCCTAAAATCTCTCAAATGATCAGCATCTGGCCTCTACATTCCCTGTACCTCTCTAATCACTGGGTTTTACACCTGAAACTAATATGATATTGTATGTCAACTGTAATTGAGAAATAAAACATGATTTAAAAATTTAAAAAAAGAATTACAATTTGGCAGTTATAAAATAGTCACTGGTATGTAAATGACAACATAGGGGACATAGTCAATAATATTGTAGTAACTATGTACGGTGTCAAGGGGTACTAGAATAATCAAAGAGATCACTTCTTTTTTCATTTTTTTTAATTACAATGGTAGTGACCATTGGTAATGCTTATCTGCATACATACAAGTCCTTTGGTTGATCTCTTACTCCCTCCCCCTTCCCTCTGAGGTTTGACTGTCAGTTCGATGCTTCTCTGTCTCTGGATCTATTTTTGTTTATCGCTTTATGTTGTTCAATATATTCCACAAATGATTGAGATCATGTGGTATTTATCTAAAGGTCTAACCACTGTTCTGTACGCCTGTAACTGATATAATATTGAATGCCAGCTGTAATTTCAAAATATTAAAACTTGATTTTTTTCAATTAAAATAAAAACTAAAAGAAAAAAATAAACTTTGTTCCTAATACTCAGAACTATAAATCTACTTTCGCCCATGCTGTACATCAATTAATTATATAGGATGGCCCAAAAAATGTATATACAGACTTTGAATAATTATAATGATTAAAAAAATACATTTTACTTTTAAAATTGAGCTATCAGTTGTAAAAGTGTCTACTATATATTTTTATTTCCTGATTTGCATTCAATAGGAAATAGGGTTAATTTTAAATTATATTTAGAGATTAATATTTGTATATTTTTCTTAATAATTTCTCAGGTATTAAATGTTAATTTATTAATTAATTTTAATATCAGTGTAAAATATTGATATTGTCCAAGGATTTGGAAGTTGCAATTTACACCATCATGTTAAGTCCTTATGATTTGTAGTATTATCAGCAAAACTTTCTAGTACATCAGTGTAGGTGAATCAATAAAAAATTACAAGATTAAAACCTTTTAAATTATATAAATTATTAAAATGTCAATTATTCCAATTTTATATTTTTAAAATTATTAACAATCTGATGAAACTATGATAGAATAGTTCTTCCAAGGTTTATAATCATTCCCATTTGCCTAAAAAGCCATTTATTTATTGGGAAAGTCCATAAACTCTCTTAAATATAAGTAAATGTCTATGTTCATTTTTTTTAAATCAAGACGTTCAAGTTTATGCCAAAACTCTAAGAGCCTAATTTTCTATTCATATAAAAGACTAAATACATTACCCATTCACATTTACTGCTTTGCTAAATTTTTAGCAAAGACAAAACACATAATTTAAGCACAGTTTATCATTTTCCTTTTCCTTGTATTTTTGACTATTTGATCAATGGTCCTACAATATACATATAATGACAGAAAAATAATTATGATCAATAAATATTATAATTTTTCAAAAAAAGCAAAAATAAAGAAGTGAAGGGGAGCTAAATTCAGGCTGATGTAAAATCAGGATTGTTAAAAGTTAATTATCTCCTAGCTGCAAAGAGTAGTAGAGGCTTAAGTACAGAAAAACTTATTTTTACAAAGATACACACCCACAAAAACAAGTTGTTAATATGGACAGTTTAAACAATAATTTACACCCTTGACAATTCCACAGAGCCATGTAATTAAAAACTTAGTGCTTATTAATCCTCAAAGTGTAAAAATGAACTGGGGGGTTTTTATACGTCAAACACTGTTATACATCAAATCTCCTTATGAGAGTAGAGATTTTCTTTTTGTTTTAATGCATCTGTCAAATGAGCAATTTTGTTCTTGTCAAAACTTCTACAGAGTGGCCACTGCAATTATAGATTGTCCTTGGGGGAATTATAGCAATTAGAAAGGTATGTACATGAGTTACAACATGAAGGAAGGAATGCATGATGTCCAAGACTGAAAGGACCCCATGAAAATATATGGAGGTGCTTGTGTAATGTCATGTCTTATGAAATGCCAAAGAGTAGTCAATCTCAACTGAGGACCTGACAAAATTGTGTAAAAAGATTTTGAAAAGGTGGCATAAGGAAAATTTTGTCCTGGAAATGCAGACTCATGTGACCATATAAATTCACTGTTCATTAAATTAGCTAGATGATGAAGTTGTAAGATCTATGTCTATCTCTCTAGATTACACTGGATCCTATAATCAAACATTTTCTAAAATGTTTTCTTATTCTTAGGAGACAAACTAAACTTAACATTTGGGAATTTGATGAAAAGGAATTGGAGTTCAGATCTGAAACTGTCCCTATGTCACTGTCACAGTTGGAGAGAGGAATCTTCATTGGTCTCACAGCAGGGTGCTGTTTGTAATCTAAGGTCCTCAAATTTGGTAGTGAGGGCATCTTAATTGGATCTTTACAGAACTGTGTGTTTGTTCATGGTTGCCCCTCCAAAAGACTACCGGACAATTCCATTGACCAAGAAAAGTAATTCAGATTTATGCAGTAAGGAAAAACAACACCTTAACAGAATCTTACAAGTGTTTCAGAAGGAAGAAGTTACCAGAAGATATTTATATGTTTCAAAGCCTTGGTTGTCAGCTGATGGGGCTTTACTTGAAATGATCAGTAAGAATTTATATATATAGCTTTGTATGGTGGGCACAATGTGATGATAATCTTAAAGTGAGTTTGATGAGTAAATTGTTAGTCTTGGTAAGTAACTTATTTTAGTTAATTCACAATTTTACCTTTTAGGAGCAAGTATTTCATGGAGCAAAGAGTAGGTCATTTTTGCTGTTTTTGTTATTTTAGGGTCATTTCAGTTTTCATCATCAAAGACTGAAGTCCCAAAAGTATTATTTCATTTATTTTGTTAAAAAGCAAACAACAACAACAAACCTCCCTTTATACTGTAGAAAGGTTTTCTAAAAGTAATTCCTACTACTGATTTGTTGTGGGGAACAGTTAGAAACGTTCATGAATAAGCAGGATGAATTGGTGTCTACTGGTTGGCTTTTCTTTTCTTTTTTTCTTTTTTTTTTTTTTTTGTTAATCCTCACCTGAGGATATTTTTTCCCACTGACATTTAGAGAAAGTGGAAGGGAGAGGGAGGGAGTGAGAGTGACAGCAAGCATAAGTGCAAGAGAGAGAGAGTGACAGAGAGACAGAGACACCAAGACATTTAAAATATTCTATTTCTTATTTTTTATAGATGTGTGCAAATGGATGCATTTGTTTGACTGAAGAAGGAAATAAGGGATATTTTTATCTATTTATTCCCAGAAGTCCTGGGAAAATGTATCTGGAAAATACAACTGACTATCAAGAAAGTCAGTGTCAACTTGAAGCAATTTATGAAGATGAATTTAATATATCTAGGTACTTATACATTATATTATGTATAAAAATATGAGCACATATATAGGAAAAAGAATATAGACATATAGAAATACATTTTCTATAGTACACTAGAATTACAGTTAGTATCTGTGGTAAATAAAATCTGGGATAGATTCTCATATATTAAGATGTATATGGTTAATACCAGAGCAACTACCAAGAAAAGCTTATATAATAAAGAGGTAGTATGCAAATTGGTCCTCACTCCATCACACCATCACAAGATGGCTGCACCCACAGTGGAGGCAGGGTTCCTGTAACACAAGATGGCTGTGCCCACAGCAGAGGTGGGGTTCCCGTGATGAGCCATAAGGAGTGATCAGCAGGGACCTGAGGCTGCGTGGCACTGGGCTGGGGTGGGGAACTGAGGCTGTGCCCCCCGCCTGGCGGGGCTTGACAGTGGTGGGGCTGGCCAGGTCTGGGTCTTGTGTGATTTCGAGGTGCATGTGGGTGGGCGGGGACTACATTTTACTAATTTTCTTTCATCTCTGACACTTCTATTATAGAGAAAGGGCAAATAGCAATATTAAAACATTTCCTCTCATTAATTCCCTTTTAATGTGCATGAATTTCATGCACCGGGCCACTAGTAGCAAATAAAACAGCAAAAAAAAGCATTAAAATTTTGACCTGGAACTATATACTTAATATAAAAGGAGGTATTATCAGAAGCATAAAGGTATTAAAAAGACATGAGACATAAGAAAAACAAATAGGAAAATGGCAGACATAAACCCAACTATACAAATAATAACATTAAAATATTAAAATCAAATGGATTCAAAATTCAATCAAAAGGCAGAGATTTTCAGCCTAGATAATTTCTGGACATACCCAAGTATATGCCATCTATAGGAGACACATTCTCTACATTTAAATGTACATTTAGGTTAAAAGTAACAGATTGGGAAAATATATATCATTCAAATAGCAACCATTGAAAGCAGGAGTATCTATATTAATATCAAATGAAATAGACTTTAAAAGAAAAAAAAATGGTTACTAGAGAAAACCAACCACATTATATAATGAGAAATGATCTAATCCATCAGAAGATGTGTCAATTATAAGCATATGTGCCAAACAACTGACACCCAAAATAGATAAAACAAAAACTTATTAAATAAAACAATGACAGTACTATAATAATGTTAAATTTAACAACTTTTTTGAAGGAAGAAAACTAACAATAACAACATAATAATAATGTTAACAATGAGTTGATAATTAATGTATAAACCTTTTACTAATGAAATATACTTTCTATGAGTGCAGCTTAAAGTACATAATGTAAATGAAGTATTTTACAATGGTTTGAGTATTTACCACAGTTTTGCCCTAAAAGGGACAAAAACATTTCCAAAAATTTTGCATAAACTTAATGAAAGTGGGGCGGTGGGTCCCTAGCTATGTTTTCACTCAGGAAAGGGTAGTTTTGTGATAAGTATTGAATTTAAATTTCTCAACACTAGACTGAAGTTTTTGTGTATCCAACCCATATATGATGCTTTCAATCTATGCTCAAGTAACCAATCCCTACTTGCTACCAGAAATAGCATAACAAAATGAAACCCACTCATTCACACATTTCTTAAACCTTTATTCAATACTTTCTAATTGGAAAATGTTTGGAAATAAGATCTGATTCTTATCCCCTTATAATGTATCATCCATAGGTAAATCAGAACACATCTCATAGCTATTTATGTAGAAAGCAATTATATTTTTAACTTCTAAAATAACTATTATTTTTACTTTGTAAACATACAAGTAGTTTGTGTTATAGCAATTAATTTTATGGCTGACTTTCAGGAAACTTTCAAATAAACTGGTTTCTTTTAAGGGCTATTTTAGGAGCTTACATTTTCCATGTAATGCTAAATATGACCAAAACACTATTTTTCATTTATAAGCAATAGTTCTGTATTGAAGTGTAAAATCTGAAGTCCACGATAAAATCAAGTATAGTTTCAAACCTATTTCTATAGAGTCTGGAGGCTTGAATAAATACAACTTTATGTGAATTTGCCACAGAAATCTATTTTGTTCAGAGTTTTCTTAAATTACTTCTGAACCAGGAACTCTAATAATTATTAATTTCTAAGACTATCATAATTTTTGCCATCATATTAGTGACTTTTTTTTATTACACTGATTTTTGAATGTACCATGAAAATTTTCCTGCCTCCCAAGCAAAAGTTTTTGTATTACATTTTACTTTGAAACATATTTAAAAATGAATAAACTGGACTGCATATATATCATGTATGTGTGCCTGTTTTTGAACAGTCTTGATATATTAAGCAACATTTTCTCTAGTGGCTAGAAATTTTTTTCTGTTGCATGTACATGTGTTGATATATTATTTTTTATCTTTATTTTGCCATGGGAAAATGAAATAACCTTGCTTCCTTAAGTTTTATAGTAAAATGATATAGAGGTGATTATTTATTTAAGCAATTCTAAAGTAAATATTGTAATGTCCATATACATCCTGAAAATTAATTGTAGTACACCTCATTAAAAGAAGTAGTTTTGTGTAATTAAGTGTCAATAATAGGAGTTGAAATTTAGCTAATGTATATAAAATTATACGTCATGTTATCATTTTTTTCTTTCATCTGAAAACCAATATATGTGTTATGCACATAAAGTGAAAGTTTGACTATATTATAGCTTCTGGCTCTATGACTTTATGCTTTAAATTCATATGTCAAACAAAAATTGTGTGCATGTGATTAATATGATTTTGTGTACCTGGGTCAGATTTTTATTTTACTTGATAATAGCTAAATAGGTTTTTATAGGTCTAACCTTTTTTATTGCTTTTCACATTTTCTTCTAAGACATGAAATGTCATGAAGCTGTTTGTTCAGAACCTTTAAGATGACCTTTCTCTGGAGCATAGCTCAATTATGAAAAAAACTTGGTGATTATATAGTCAAACAATATTAATGGAGCATCTACTGTATATAAGGCATATAGATTATAATCTTGATATTTAGGCTAACAAATAGAGTAATATATTTAACTTCTTCTATCCCAAGAATATATTTCCATTAAATGATAAAAAAATTTAACTTTCAATATTTAAAATGAGACCATATTTTAAACTTAGACTTTCACCTAATATATTTCTTTTTTTTTAATTAAATCTTTACTGTTCAGTTTACATTTGTTCCTCTTTTGTCCCCCCCATAACTCCCCTCCTCCCAGTTCCCTCCCCACTTCAAATTTAAGTTCAATTCTAGTTGATTTATTTATTAAGTCTTAGTGCAATTTATTTTTTCAAAGTTAAAATTCTTGGAATTTATAAGAATATTTGAAACATTTTAATAATATATGTGGACCACTATGATTTTCTTGACTTTTTATTTTTTTAACAAAATTGATGTACTTGTCACTGAATTGCTTTCAATTTAATAGTAATGTATCTTAAGCCGGTCAGAGAAAGATAAATATCACATGATCTCACTCATATGTGGGATATAATGATCAATATAATTTGATGAACAAGAATAGATCCAGAGACAAATGGCAGGGGAGGGAGAGGGTTAGAGAGCAACCAAAGGACTTGTAAGCATGCATATTAGCATAACCAATGGACACAGACACTGGGGCAGTGGGGGCTTGCCCAGGGTGGCAATGGAGGGGTTTGAGGAGGGGGCGGTCAAGCAGAGAAAAAGGAGATATATGTAAAATTTTAGAAAATTTAAAGAAAAGGAAAAAAATAGTAATTTATTTTAGCACTGGGCATCATATGCAGGCATATCAGTACTTATATGAATATTATTAATTATGATGAAAAATACTTGTCATATTAGTACATAATGGGTAAAACATGGTGAGTGCTTTAATACACTGGATAAATTTATTTTAGCTCAATGGTTTTCAAAGGGATGGCTTTGCATTTTGGGGAAAATTTGAAAATTATTAGGGTCATTCCAATCAGTGGAACTGACTGAAACAGCTGGCCTTTAGCAGGCGGGAGGTAAAGGATGAATGCTATAAATCCTTCATTGCACAGGATACTTCCATGATTAAAAAAATGTTACAAGGTTTAAATTATTCCAAAAGTTCCAATATATGTTAATATGATTATAAAGCCTTTTTATAAATATCTGAGCCAATAACTTCATTTTATGTACTGACACAAATACTTTTACAAAAATGTAATAATCATTGGATTAATCAGAAAGGAAATGTTCATGTTAATCAAGAAAATATTATGTTTTATTCAGAAATTTATTAGAATTTGGTAACCATATTGGAAAATCATATCATCCTACTTGAATTTGGAATAACTAACTACTGTCATAAGCCTCCATTATTCTGTGTATGGATGCAAAGAAGTAAGCACATCAGTGTATCTTCGAGTTATGTAATTTCTACAATGGATGTATTTTTATACATAACTACATTCAATAACAATTTAGTGTCCTTTTATATGTTCTCAGAGTTAGGTCATTATCTTGATTTTTAAAATATTAGGTGTGGAGATAGGTTATACTTATAAATTCTTTTAAAAATATTTTATTGATTTTTAGAGAGAGAAGAAGGGAGGAGAGGAGAGGAGAGGAGAGAAGAGAGAGAGAGAGAGAGAGAGAGAGAGAGAGAGAGAGAGAAACATCAATGTGAGAGCAAAATATCAATGGGCTGCCCCATGCATGCCCCTACTGGGGATTGAGCCTGCAACTGAAGCATGTTTCCTGACCAGGAATTGAACCTGAAACCTTTTGGTGCATGGGACGATGCCCAACCACTGACCAACGTGGGCCAGGACATATATAAATTCAAATGTATGAAGTAAAGGGGGTGCCACAGAAAATAGAAATATATTATAAACAGAAAATATTGACCTAATTTGCTGTAGAATATATATTTTTGAGAGATGTTAACAAATTGAATACTAAAAAATATGAGGGCTATGTTTAAGTCAGAAATTAGAGATCTGATTTTCTCAGGCATGGTGATGTAAGCAAATTGATTTTCCATTCTGGGTCTGTTACTGAT